TTAAATAGAATTCGTGCCTCATATCGAATTTACCGAGTATCATAATTCCTCCAGGTGGTAAAGATACCTCGAGACAAGTGCTGGGCATAGAAGCCACAGGGCATAAATCTGCAAAGAAGTAAAAAGCTAACCTTTGCAAACAATATGGCTTCTCTCTCACTTACCAACTTTACATTTCCCTGTATGGCCCCGGAAGATGACTGGTTAGCCAGAGACGGGTAAGATTCCTCAAGGGAGGAACAACCTAAGACAGGCACAGTCGCAGGGGGGCCATCAGGTGAGAATTTGGGGATCAACAGAGGTGAGGCTCAGAACCTCACCCCCCCTGCTTTGAGAGAAATCTTCTGCATCCGTGGATGTCTTGCTGCCCTTGTCTAGCCTGGATTAATACTTAGTCCATAGGCACACACCTGATCATCTGATCATCTACATTTGCCTTCTTACAGCACTAAACTATGTTTTCTACCTTTATCTTGCATCTACCTACCACTTCAGCATTTTATTAAAAATAAAAATAATAATAATAATAGGAGAAATGTGGGATCAACATATAAATCAAGTACAAAAATCAAACGAATATTCATATTTGACCTGATTGTTTATAGGTCATAATGCATGATCAAAACCGAAAGTTTCTGTGATGACTGCCCTTGTACTGTTCACCATGTAAGAATTTATTCACTATGTAAGAATTCGTTCACCATGTAAGAACTTGTTCGTTATGCTTCAGAAGATTGGAGACTGACGAGAATTTGGCTTGAGATGGATTAATGATTGTACATTGAGCATTGACCCCCCTATACTGATTTTTATTGTTGTTAACAACCATTTGATCAATAAATATGAGAGATGCCCTCTCAAAAAAAAAAAAATGTATCCTGCAAGAAAGTAGCAAAATACTTGTCATTAAACAGATAATTAGCATTGCAAAAATTGGCTCATGGTATGTACAGAAATTCTATGATAAGGACAAATAATATCATTGTCCAAACTGAACCCACCTGCATTTAAAAAAAATTCTTTGGAATTTAAAAGGTAGATAGTATTAAAGGATAATTTTTAAAGATAAAAATCATGACTACCATAAAAATATAAAATGAACATTTGTCAAGGTTTTATTTAACTCATTAACTAATGAAAGAACCAGAAAGATGTTACTGTTTCAAGACCAATTCAAAGAGAAGAAATGTCTTATGGAATGAATTTACAAATAGATTCAAAACTGGCTTTTTCCATAGAGGAAAAGGGGATTCAAATGTCTTTCATTTGCATATGGAAAAATAATTTGTAGTGCTTTCAGTTATCTATAAGGTAGAAGTATGAAACAATTCAAAGACTGTGAAAGGTAGAGATGACCCTGGTGAGTAAACTTGATTTGTTGTATACTTAAAACCAATATAATATTGTACATCAACTACACTTCAATAAAAAAGATAGGTTGAAGAGATAAACAAGTTTGGGTTTTTGTTATTAATTAAGGATATTTTATAGTCCTGGTTCTTGTGATTCTATATCAAACATGGTTAATGTAATTCCTAAAGAAGTAGTAACCAATGAACTGTACAGTACACTACGTGCAGCAGAATACCTAAGAGTAACTTACACAAGTCTGTGGTATAAGCTTCCTGCTCATTGCTATCTCTTTCCCTTCCTTTTCCGATATATAACAGAGTTTTAGATGTTTTATCTTAAAAGCAACCAGTTTTACTGATACATAATTCATATATCATGCAATTCGCCCATTTAAAGTTGCAATTCAATGGCTTTTAGTATAGCTGCCGAGCTGTGCAACTAACACTATAATCTGTTAGATTTTTTAATTTAATAAAGTATAGAATCTATTCACTGTTGTTAATATGATTAGGCCCTTAGTTTCCATGTGAACCCACTATCTTGACTGGAAACTGCTGATTTATTTGCTGAAAAATTTAGGTTTTAAAAATAGCATTAATACAGCTAAGTTGAAAGTGTTTTCCTTAAAATTATATGGCCCTTACAATGCACTATTATTAGGAAATAAAAAGGAATGAAATACTGATATATGCTACAGCATGGGTGAACCTTGAAACCATGCTGTGAAAGAAGGTATAGCTACAAAAGCCAGCCACATATATAATTCCATTTATCCATTTATATGAAATGTCCATATAGGCAAATCCATAGAGACAGAAAGTAAATTAGTGGTCGCAGCAACTGAAGAAGGGTAAATGAGGAGTGACTGCTAACGGGTACAGGGTTTTTTCTACAAGTGATGAAATGTTCCAAAATTAGATTATGGTACTGATTGTACAACTCTGTGAATATATTAAAAAAACACTGAATTGTATAATTTAAATGGGTGAATTTTATACTGCGCATGATATATCTCAAAACATCTCTAAAAAGTGTATTCAATAAGGAGTTAAGGTGAGCAGCAATTTCATTGTTTAATTGGACACAGTGAAAACTAATGGTTCTAAGAGACAAATTTTAGAAAAGTTATAGCAATATTTAAACATTAACCAAATCACAAAAGGCTTTTCATTGGTTTTTATATATTTTTTCATTTAAAAATTTTATATGAAAAAACGTGATTACTGGTGAATTCTGTCACACACTTTAGGGAAAGATAATATGAATTCTATAAAAACCTTCCCCAGAATGGACAGTGGTCCTCTTCCCAACCATTCTATGAGGCCAACATTTCTTTGATATCAAAGCCAAAAAAGATATTACAAAAAAAACCACTGACTAATATCCCCCATGAACCTATAGGCAAAAATTTTGAACAAAATTTTAGAAAGGATTGGATTAAAGACAGCAGAGTGAGAGGTGAGACAGAGGCTTCCTCCTAAAACTGCACATAATATGAAAATATAATTAATATGACTAATCCTGAAAGAACAACAGGAAAGAAGGCTGCACCAAACTGCATACACCTGGAGAAAAGAATAAACCTCATGGAACAAGGTAACTTACCAAAGCCATGACCTGGTGGGACCCAAGCCCTTCCCCCACCCCAGCTCACCATCAGGGAGGAAGAGGAATGGAGCAGGGAGGGAGTGGAGGCCTGGGACTGCTAAATACCTAACTCTGGAGATCTGCTCTGGGACCACAAACCTACATTTCATGGTGCTTGCATGGTACTCTCGTTATTAGGGTGTTGGAAAGCTAAGACAGGTAGAATACCTGGAAAGACTGAGATTCCAGCCACTTGTGGAAAGCAGGGATCCATATCCAGCTGCTCTGGTACAAAAAGAAAGGCACGCAATCTGAGAGACTTCCTAACAGCAAGAGGGCTGCTAAAGAGGCAAGGATTGCCCAGAGATTACTGCTCAGGAGAAAGGACAGGTAGACAAAACTGTCTGGGTGCACTCTGCCCAGTAGGTTGGGAAATTTCTCGATCTTCAGGTCCTCCAGCTCCCTGGCTGGCTACACAGCTCAAGGGACACCCTCCGTGATAAGCAGCTTACTGAGCCTTTCTCCCAGCCAGCCCCACCTAGCTCACAAACCGTCAAACCCTACCCTGGCATTAGGCCAGCCAGAGGGAAGACCTGTCTACAGCAACTACAAATGCAAAGCATAGAGGCTTATATTTGTGTGCTTGGCCCACTGGTTCTGGCAGTGGAGGCAGGCATAGCAGTCCGGAAGCAGGAAACAGCACTTTCCTCCCTCCAGGCACCAACAATGCTCCCCTGGAACCCTGGACATTACTTCAGGGGCTGAGCAGCTCCAGAGACTAGAGCTTCTGAGCACTAGAGGGCGCCATATACAAGTATGAAATGCCAAAGAAACCTGGTTCAAAGTAAAATTATGAATACAACACCTGAGAAAAATTCAAATGAAATTGACCTCATGAATCTTCCTGAAAGGGATTTCAAAATAAAAATCATTAACATGCTGAGGAGTGGAAGAGGCATGGGCAGGGAAGCAGGCAGCTGCAGTGTTCTCGTGAAAGACTGGGGCACCCTTTGCTCCACCCCACTTGGCCATGGTGGGAGGGGTGGGGTGTGGTTCCCACGGGCAGTAGGTGTTGGGGAACCCAGGAACTTTCAAAAGAAGGCTGTTATTCTCAGCCTTGTCTTATATGGGCTTTGAAACTTACCAAGCCATTTCTCAGACTGCTATGGTTCATGCCACAGCCAAAGTCCTTGGAGTTGAAGAAATCCTTGAACAGGCAGACTACTTGTATGAAAGTGGAGAAACAGAAAAACTTTATCAGTTGCTAACCCAATACAAGGAAAGTGAAGATGCAGAGTTATGGTGGCGTTTGGCCTGGGTGTCATGTGATATAACTCAGCTTAGTGGAACAACAGAAGAGGAGAAAAAGCTCTTGGTGTATGAAGTCCTAGAGTATGCAAAAAGAGCCCTAGAAAAAAATTAATCAAGCTTTGCAGCTCATAAGTGGTATACAATCTGTATTAGTGATGTTGGAGATTATGAAAGCATCAAGGCTGAAATTGCAAATGTCTACATTATCAAGGAACATTTTGAGAAAACAATTGGACTGAACCCTAAAGATGTTACCTTAATTCACCTTATGGATATTTGTTGTTACACATTTGCTGAAATGCTTTGATATCAATGAAGAATTGCTAAAATTCTTTTTGCAGCGCCTCCTAGTTCCACCTATGAAGAGGCCTTAGGCTACTTTCACAGGGCAGAGCAAGTGGATCCAGACTTCTACAGCAAGAACTTGTTTCTTTTAGGAAAGACATATTTGAAGCTGCACAACAAAAATATTGCTGCTTTTTGGCTAATGAAAGCTAAGGATTATCTAGTGCACATAGAGGATGATAAACAGATTGAGACAGAAGCTGCTCAGTTGCTTACAGGTTTCTATGACAAGAGTTGAAAATGTTTTTGATAAGTACATGAAATATCTAAGAAGCATTGCCTTTTCTTCAAACTATAAAAATAACAAATCAACCATAACTGCAATAGAAGTAAAAAAAAGAAAAAAAGAAAAAAAGAAAAAATCATTAACATGCTCATGGAGGTACAGAAAAATACTCAAAAACTCAGAAATGAATTCCGGTTGGAGATCTAATTGTTGAGAAGCACAATGGAGGGTATTAAAAGCAGATTAGATATGGTGGAGGATACAATAAATGAAATAGAAATTAGAGAAGAGGAATACAAAGAAGCTGAGGCACAGAGAAAAAGGATCTCTAAGAATGAAAGAACATTGAGAGAATTGTGTGACCAATCCAAACGGAACAATATTTGCATTATAGGGGTACCAGAAGAAGAATAAGAGAGAAAAAGGGATAGAAAGTAACTTTGAGGAGGTAATTGCTGAAAACTTCCCCAATCTGGGGAAGAAGATAGTCTCTCTCAGGCCATGGAGATACACAGATCTCCCAACACAAGGGACCCAAGGAAGACAACACCAAGACATATAGTAATTAAAATGGCAAAGGTCACGGATAAGGACAGACTATTAAAAGCAGCTAGAGAGAGAAATAAGATCACATACAAAGGAAAGCCCATCAGGCTAACATCAGACTTCTCAGGAGAAACCTTACAGCGTAGAAGGGAGTGGCATGATGTATTTATGGCAATGAAATAGAAGGGCCTCAAACCAATAATACTTTATCTAGCAAGATTATCATTTAAATTTGAAGGTGGGATTCAACAATTTCCAGATAAGCAAAAGCTGAGAGAATTTAACTCCCACAAACTATCTCTATAGTGTATTTTGGAGGGACTGCTATAGATGGGAGTATTCCTAAGATTTAATAGCTGTCACCAGAGGTAATAAAATGACAGTAAAGAAAGTAGAACAGTTAATTACTAAGCAAATGCAAAATTAAATGAACTATACCCAAAGACAATCAAAGGATAGACAAAGAGTACAGAATATGATACCTAATATATAAAGAAAGGGGGAGGAAGAAAAAGGAGAAAAAAAGAAGCTTTAGATAGTCTTTGTAATAGCATATTAAGTGAGTTAAGTTAGAGACTTAGACAGTAAGAAATGTAACCTTGAACCTTTGGTAACCATGAATCTAAAGCCTGCAATGGTAATAAGTACATACCTATTGGTAATCACCCTAAATGTAAATGGACTGAATGCACCAATCAAAAGACATAGAGTCACTGAATGGATACAAAAAGCAGGACCCATATATATGCTGCCTACAGGAGACTCATTTTAAACCTAAAGACATACACAGACTAAAAGTGAAGGGATGTAAAAAGACATTTCATGCAACCAATAGGGAGAAAAAAGCAGGAGTTGCAGTACTTGTATCAGACAAAATAGACTTCAAAACAAACAAAGTCACAAGAGACAAAGAAAGACATTACATAATGATTAAGGGGTCAATCCAAGAAGAAGATATAACCATTATAAATATCTATGCTCCCAACACAAGAGCACCCACATATGTGAAACAAATACTAACAGAATTAAAAGGGGAAATAGAATGCAATGCATTCATTTTAGGAGACTTCGACCCTCCACTCACCCAGAAGGACAGATTAACCAGACAGAAAATAAGTAAGGAGACAGAGGCACTGAACAACACATTAGAACAGTTGGACCTAACAGACATCTACAGAACTCTCCACCCAAAAGCAGCAGAACGCACATTCTTCTCAAGTGCACATGGAACATTTTCAAGAATAGATCAGATACTAGGCCACAAAAAGAACCTTGGTAAATTCAAAAAGATTGAAATTGTACCAACCAGTTTCTCAGACCACAAAGGAATGAAAGTAGAAATAAATTGTACAAAGAAAACAAAAAGGCTCACAAACACACGGAGGCTTAACAACATGCTCCTAAATAATCAATGGATCAATGACCAAATAAAAACAGAGATCAAGCAATATAGGGAGAGGAGACAAATGACAACTATAATTCAACACCGCAAAATCTGTGAGACGCAGCAAAGGCCATGCTAGGAGGAAAGTATATTGCAATAAAGGCCTACCTCAGGAAAGAAGAACAATCCCATACGAACACTCTAAAATCACAATTAATGAAACTAGGAAAAGAACAAATGAGGTGCAACATCAACAGAAGGAGGGACATAATAAATATTAGAGCAGAAATAAATAAAATTGAGAAGAATAAAAAAATAGTAAGAATCAATGAAAGCAAGAGCTGATTCTTCAAGAAAATAAACAAAATAAACTGTCAACAGACTGATCAAGAGAAAAAGAGAATCTACACTCATAAACAGAATCAGAAATGAGAAAGGAAAAATCACTACAGACAACACAGAAATACAAAGAATTATTAGAGAATACTATGAAAAATTATATGCTAACAAACTGGATAACCTAGAAGAAATGGATAACTTTCTAGAAAAATACAAACTTACAAGGCTGACCCAGAAAGAAACAGAAAATCTGAACAGACCAATTAACAGCCACAAAATTGGAATGGTAATCAAAAACCTACCTAAGAAAAAATACCTGGACCAGATGGCTTCACTGCTGAATTTTATCAAACATTTAGTGAAGACCTAATACCTATCCTCCTTAAAGTTTTCCAAGGAGTAGAAGAAGAGGGAATACTTCCAAACTCATTCTATGAGGCCAGCATCACTCTAATACCAAAACCAGGCAAAGACACCACAAAAAAAGAAAATTACAGACCAATATCTCTGATGAACATAGATGCAAAAATACTCAACAAAATATTAACAAACTGAATTCAAAAACACATCAAAAAGATCATCCATCATGATCAAGTAGGATTTAGTCCATGGATGCAAGGATTGGACAACATTAAAAAATCCATCAACATCATCCACCACATCAACAAAAAGAAGGACAAAAACCACATGATCATCTCCATAGATGCTGAAAAAGCATTTGAGAAAATTCAACATCCATTCATGATAAAAACTCTCAACAAAATGGGCATAGAGGGCAAGTACCTGAACATAATAAAGGCCATATAAGACAAACCCATAGCCAACATTATACCTAACAGCGGGAAGCTGAAAGCTTTTCCTTTAAGATCAGGAAGAAGACAAGGATGCCCACTTTCTCCACTTCTATGCAACGTAGTACTGGAGGTCCTAGCCATGGCAATCAGACAACACAACCAAATTCGAAAATACATCAAAAAGATAATCCATCATGATCAAGTAGGATTTATTCCAGGGATGCGAGGATGGTACAACATTTGAAATCCATCAACATCATCCACCACATCAACAGAAAGGAGGACTAAACCCACATGATCATCTCCATAGATGTTGAAAAAGCATTTGACAAAATTCAACATCCATTCATGATAAAAACTCTCAGCAAAATGGGTATAGAGGGCAAGTACCTCAACATAATAAAGGCCATATATGACAAACCCACAGACAACATCATACTTAACAGCGAGAAGCTGAAAGGTTTTCCTTTAAGATGGGGAATAAGACAAGGAAGCCCACTTTCCCCACTTCGATTCAACATACTACTGGAAGTCCTAGCCACGGAAATCAGACAACACAAAGAAATAAAAGGCATCCATATTGGCAAGGAAGAAGTTAAACTGTCCCTGTTTGCAGATGACATGATATTGTACATAAAAACCCCTAAAGAATCCACTCCAAAACTACTAGATCTAATATATGAATTTAGAAAAGTTGTGGGATACAAAATTAATACACCGAAATCTGTTGTATTCCTATAGACAATGAACTAGCAGAAAGAGAAATCAGGAAAACAATTCCATTCACAGTTGCATCAAAAAGAATAAAATACTTAGGAATAAATCTAACCATGGAAATGAAAGACCTGTACTCTGAAAACTACAAGACACTCATGAGAGAAATTAAAGAAGATACCAATAAATGGAAACACTCTGTGCTCATGAATAGGAAGAATTAATATTGTCAAAATGGCCATCCTGGCTAAAGCAATGTACAGATTCAATGCAATTCCTATCAAAACACCAAAAGCATTCTTCAATGAACTAGAGAAAATCATTCTAGAATTCAGATGGAACCACAAAGATCCCAAATAGCCAAATCAATCCTGAGAAGGAAGAGTAAAACAGGGGGATTATGCTCCCCAACTTCAAGCTCTACTACAAAGCCACGTAATCAAGACAATTTGGTACTGGCACAAGAACAGACCATAGAACAATGGAACAGACTAAAGAGCCCAGATGTAAACCCAGGCATATATGGTCAATCAATATATGATAAAGGAGCCATGGACATACAATGGGGAAATGACAGCCTCTTCAACAGATGGTGTTGGCAAAACTGGACAGCTACATGCAAGAGAATGAAACTGGATTATTGTTTAACTCCATATACAAAAGTAAATGTAATGAATCAAAGACCTGAATGTAAGTCATGAAACCATAAAACTCTTAGAAGACAACATAGGCAAAAATCTCCTGAATATAAGCATGAACAATTTCTTCCTGAACGCATCTCCTCGAGCAAGGGCAACAACAAAAAAAATGAACACATGGGGCTACATCAAACTAAAAAGTTTCTGTACAGCAAAGGACACCATCAAAAGAACAAAAAGGCATCCTGCAGTATGGGAGAATATATCTGTAAATGACATATCTGGCAAATGGTTAGCACCCAAAATATGTAAAGAACTCACATGCTTCAACACCCAAAAAGCAAATAACCCGATGAAAAAATGGGCAGAGGATATGAAGAGACAATTTTCCAAGGAAGAAATTCGTATGGCCAACAGGCACATGAAAAGATGCTCCACATCACTAATCATCAGGGAAATGCAAATTAAAACTACAATGAGATATTACCTCATGCCAGTAAGGATGGCCAGCATTGAAAAGACTAAGAACAACAAATGCTGGTGAGGATGCAGAAAAAGGGGAATGCTCCTACACTGCTGGTGGGTATGTAAGCTAGT